TCGACCTTTACATGATGAATTATGCCTCAGTGGTGAAGTAATAAGTTTATATACACGTGAAAGACAAAACAAAGCGTCTAGTTTATTCTTCCGTTTAGTTTATATCTACAGAATTATGACCTAATTATCAATTGAAGACGTGAACTTGTACTCTCTCGTCTAAACGACATCATGCCCGCATTGGACTGTCCTTATTTCAGACAGGATCATTTTCAATAAAGGGTGAAAACGTTAACAGCGGACATATGCTGTACAGAATTATTAGGATTTCCAGAGCTAAAAGTGTGAAAATTCAACGCTACAAATTTTTTTTAGCAATAGGCATTTTCGATTTACCTTTAATTACAGTATGTGGTTATTTTGACTTTAACTTAGTTAGGGGAAGACCTCTGCCATTTTAAAGTTTTATTTAATAAAATATGTTGGAATTTTGTTTCTTAAAATTATTTTGGCTACAGGGTTACATTCTTCAAAGTTTTTTTTTTTTGAAAACTTCTTTGTTTTTTTATTTTACAGAATTATATGGTAACAAGTTCGCTTTTACGACATAATTAATATGAATTTTAGGCTAATCTTTGGAATATGGTAACAGGTATTTTGGCGACATTTTGATAAGGCGATAAAGGTTACTAGCTAGGACTTTAGCAGTGTACATGGATAAAGTCAAGAGTGTGCGCAATGCCATTTTTGTGCAATTCTAGGATGTTTTTTTAAGTGAAAATAGGTCAACGTGTACATGGATGATACCGTGCATGTGCAATTCTTAAAAACGCGGCAAGCAGTAGAGAATTCTGCACTTTCTCCCAATTTTGCACTTAATTTTCCTCATGATTAAGCACTTTTGTTCCATAAAAGTTCTTGCATAAGCGTAATTCGGCTAGCAGATTGTTAGAAAAAAATGTTGAGTTAAAAGAAAAAAAATGCCTTTATTTCGTGAAAACAAAATGGCGTCCAAAACAAAACTAGCAGGTTGCTGTAGCAGCGTTGGTCGCCAAAAAATAGCCAAGTTACCATAATCCAAAGATTAACCGAATTTTATATTCTACATACAATTTTTTACACGTTAGGCTGTTCCGACATAACAAATTTCTTAATTGTTTATTAATTTAAAGACGTAAAGAAATTGTCTGTTATAACATTTCTCCCAGTGTTATAAAAGGCCTCCGTCAACCTATAAACGGCATGCCGCCTCATCCCCAAAGATTCTGTTTTCACCTTTTCAAAAATTAACATATCAATTTTGCAGATTAATACTTATATAGTAAATATCGATTTTGTAGTTTTGTAATCAAAGTATTTTGTTTTTACATCACCTAAAAGGTCCACCAGCGGCCGATCAGTAAAGTTGCTGAATACTAGTAGTTCGGTCTGGGGTTTGAATCCTAGCAAACAGGTGGCTACATGAGCGTTTTCATAGTTTTCCAGATGTGTAACGTTCATATGAACTCCGCTTAGGAAGATAGCTTTTGTGTGATTTGCCGTAATGAACTAAGCCAATTACATCATCTCAAAGCCAAATTTTTATCCTTTATTTATCCGGTTTATCGGCACTGTATGAATAAAGCGGCATTTTACATTTGCAGGAAGAATTGTTCAACAGTTGCAAAACTTTCATTTGCTATATAACACATCAAACAATTTTCAATAAAAGTGTTCTAAGGAATACCTTTACTGAGAAAACAAGAGCAAATGAATCAGCTTGAAATCTTCCCAGCCTAATTGACTTCAAGGCGCAAGTATTTCGTTATTTCGCAGAATCTGAAATCTTTCAGGGTCTTTTTTTTCCGCATCACTAACATTCGATGGTATCCATTTTCAGTTACAAAAATGTTTTAAATAATATAGATTCATCTTTTGAAATGTTTTACTTTAAAAAAATCAATTCTGTGAATTTTGTTTATTGAATTTAACTTTTTGCACGGTCCTGCGTTCCCTAAATTTATATTTAAGGCAATTTTACGCATTTCATAAAAAATAAAACAGAAAACATTTAAATTTCCCACGAAAAAAATTGACTGATATAACTGATTTCAAAATTTGCAATTTTTTGTTTTATTTGCATCGGGATGTCGGTTAGTAAATAAGTTAGAATAAATAGACGTCAATTCTTCTGTAGTATCATTGGTCATTAAATTCAGTGTTGAATTGGTCAGTTCAATAGTACCATTGAATGGCCTTCAAGTGTCATTCAGTGATAGTATTTTGTGATTACTAATATCTGCAATTTATAAATTTATTTCATTTGTTGTACCGAAAGAATTTTCACTTCAGGAATTTAAAAGATTGTAAAGTCTATATTATTGTTATTCTCAGTAATATGTATTATTTTAAAGTCTTAATATGGTAATCGAACAAAAATTTAATGAATATACAAGTATTATTAATTTCTAATTAGTATAAATAAATTGTCGTAAACAAAAAAAATATATTGTTCAAATTTTTCACAGTAATGTGCATAACAATGCTCTTCACGTAATTTCTTAACATCAGAAACCTTTCTGTAAATGATATTTTTCTTTTATTTACGTACTAATGCAAAGACTTCGCACATCAGTTTTTGCCTGTGTCTTCAGTAAGATTCTATATTTTAATATCAACTTAGAGGGCAAACCCGGCAGATAAGCTAGCTGCGGCCAAAACAAAATTTATAAATTCTGCGTACACCTGAAAATAATATGCATAAAAACATTTCAATATGAAAGAAATAAGTTTATTTTATTCTTTCCAAGCGACAACCAATTCGTAAAAAAAAACTAAATAAATAAAAAAGAATAAAAATAAAAATCTGAAATCTTTCAGATTTTTCATTACGCCCAAAGGGGCGTTTCTTTTCTTTAACGTTTTGAGTGTTACCTTTATTTATTAAATATCATGTTCTTTTGCACTTAAGCAATAAAATTCAATTCAACAGCAATCTTGCAAAATAATTTAAAACGATCATATCTTTAGAATTTCGGATACATAGACTCGTACGCTTGAGATAATTCTTTTTCTGTACATTGTTCCCATTGCTAGCTTCGAAATCGTTGATTTTGTTAATCAAAAATTCATTAAAGGTGTTACAAAATATGAAATCGATAATCAAACAAATTTCAAATCCCGAATTAGGGCTTCCATATGCCCATATTCGATGAAAGATTACGTTATTCAAAATTGGATAGCTCTAGGTACCATTGTTTTATCACAATGCGAGAAACATACATACATTTACGCAAATTCTTCAATATTTAGTTTCTTTAAATATAACACAGGGCTCTAATATTTGGTGGCAGCAATTTGAAAAGTAAACCGAAATTTATAATGAAGCAACGCAAGATGCCAAAACGAAATCAATAGCCCTTCTGGGGTAAAGCCATTTGGGCTAAAAAAAATCGAATATGAATAAAAAAATTCGAACTGCGCTCTTCAGTACTTGCTCTGAGAATAATAACAAAATAAAATTATACCTACTTTTAGAACAAGTTGATGTAAATAATATATCCCGCCCACTCCTACATTTAATTCAGTTCGAAAAAAATATTATTTATAAGATGACTTACTATTAATTCAAATAGCGAAGAGAGTTGAATTGGAAAGGAAGCATAAAGGGCATAGCAAATTAAAAACTTAAATGCATCTAGCATATCTTACAAAATGTCTTATTTTACCTTAACGAGTTTTTCTCTTCGTATGTGTTAAAACAGAAGTAATTAGGGAATTTTCTCTTTACCAGTATTTTCAATGACCTCTTCAACAATCTTCGTGCCCTTTTTTATAAGCATTCCTATTTGTTTCATCATCCGTTAATATTAAAGAGTGGTTGGTACATTAAATTGATCTTTTTATTCGGCGCATAACAATGTAAAGATCAGGGAAATTTTTATCGATGTTTAAAGTTAAGTCAGTTCGAAAGCGATGCTAAGAAAGAACGGCGGAAAAAAATTTGTAATATCGGAAATCTCCTGAATCGATTAAACTGGTAATTATATGATAGAAGATGTCTTTTTTTCTCTCCTGTTTCCATTAAATTCCTTGCATTTTTTACTTCACTCGTACAGAGTACTTTTAATTGAAAGTAATTGATCTCATCCATGCCATTGTTTATTTTCTGTTACTGTTAACTGATTTTTGGGGAACTTCTTTTCTTCGTTTTTATTTCCCACTGAATGGCAACAAACATAGCCGCAAAGAATGCAAACGAGTTCCCCCACTCATGGTTGCAATTAATTTAATTAAAATCTATGTTTTTTGGTATTTACAAAGCTCCGAAACTAAACACCGTGATTAAATCGTACCAGACTTTCTTTTTCCTTCTTCATTATGACGAGCATTATGCTTTTAAATAACCTGTAGAGCTTGAAGTCATAATAAATCTTAATTGAAATGTAGTTTCAAGTAAAGTTTAACGGACATCAAATTAGTCAGTGGCTTAGCGAGGCAAAAAGTAAAATATAAATTATTATTAAGAAGTATATTTAAAGAGATAAGGTAGAGTTAACTTTCGCTTATACTGTGGGTACATATTTAATTTTGTTTATTGCGAAAGTATGTAAAAACTAAATTCCAAAAATGTCAGCTGAAAAAAAAAATCAAACGTTCTTTACGGCAACTATGACAAGGAAAAGAGGAAAAAAAATCTGATGTGTGCAAAACATGACTTCCTTGTATTGGAATATTAAATTATACGCATTTTTCTTGCATTTCATTTAAACATATTGGATTGTGTTGCGATGTAAATGTGAAGGAACTCAACACGTCCTCGTTTTAAACATGAAACTTATATTAAATAACTGCACAATACAAGTATAAACAAGAAAATAACATATAACCACTTATAAGTACGAGAACAGAACAAAAATAGTGAATAAATAGACAGCATAGCAGCTGCCTTGCGAATGCGTTCGTCTGAGTCTGACTGTTCAACTGAATTAAATGTTCTTTGGCATAGTTCCAAAACCGAAAGAGTCGGGTTGAGTTTTTCTGTTCCGGCGCACCGGAACATACTCCCACCCTATCAGGCATTAGTCCTGATATATGGGCAAAGGAGCTAATTTATGAATGTTTCTTTTAAAAATAGAGCTTTTAGTTTTAACCGTGGCCACACGAACCAGTCCGTCAGCACCATGATGAAGTTCGACCACTTGTCCTAGTGGCCAAGAACCTGGAAGATGACCATCATCTAGTAACAGGACGATGTCTCCAATTTTCATATTCGGCTGAGTGTCCTTCCATTTCTTTCTGGTTTGAAGAGAAGATAGATATGCTTTGGTCCATGATTTGCAGAAGTCCTTCCGCATCTTTTGAAGGAGATCCCACCTATTCCGTATATTGGCAGGACTAGTAAGAGGTAGTTCAGGAGGGGATAGGATCACACGTCTCCTGTAAGAAAATGTGAAGGAGTGAGAATATTAATGCAATCAATGTCAGTATTGTTTACACTACATAACTACATAACGGACGAGAATTTAAAATGGCTTCTATCTGAGCCAATAGAGTTGTCAATTCTTCGAAAGTAAGTAGCGTTTCACCTATTACTCTTTTACAGTGATATTTGGTTGATTTAATTGCGGCCTCCCAAATTCCTCCGAAATGAGGAGATGCTGGAGGTATAAAGTGCCATTCTATTGATGCTTGAGTTAAATGATGAGCAACGGCTTCGTTCTTAGGAAGTAAAGCCCACAATCGTTGTATTTCGCTGAGCTTTCGATTAGCCCCAACGAAGTTTGTTGCATTGTCGCTGTAAATGTGACTTGGAGCTCCTCGTCTAGCACTGAAGCGACGCAAAGCAGCTAAAAATGCATCAGCGGTTAAATCGCTGACTGCCTCGATGTGTAGTGCCTTAGTAGCGAGACAAATAAATAGAGCAATGTAACCCTTGGTTGATTTTGCTTCCACGACCCTTGTTGAATTTGATTGAAATAGGACCGGCATAGTCCACTCCGCAGTTGAAGAAAGGCCTCTCGAGTGTTACTCGATGCTTAGGCAGATTACCCATAAGCTGGGATGCTTTAAATTTGAAGCATTTGATGCATTTGTGAACACATTTATTAATGAGCTTTTTTCCACCTATGATCCAATATGATTGTTTGATAATGTGGGACAGTAATGAAGCACCAGCATGTAAATAAGTCAACATGCTTTTCTTTTACGATGAGCTCACTTATCTTGTGTTTAGCAGGTAGAATCACTGGGTGCTTTTGATTAAAAGACAATTCTGAATTTTGTAAAACGCCCTCCCACCCGTAAAAGACTGTTTTCATCTATAAACGGATGGAGGGAGTGTAGCTGACTTTTCTTAGGCAACGATCTTTGATTTTTAATGCATTTTAGGTCTTCATTAAAATAAAAAGATCTTAACAAAGTCTTTCTGAACCCATCGAATTATGATTATTTCTGCATTTTTAGTTTCCGTGTAAGTGAGTGGAGAAAAGGAATCAGTTATAAGTGTTTGACATTTGTTATTGGTTTTGCACTTATTGATGAATCTTAAACAATATGCTAAAATGCGTATAATCTTAGAAAATGATGAATATTTTTCAAATAAATCACTATATAATTCATTTGATGTAGCACTATGAAATGAAAATATAGGATCAGATCTTTGTTCAGCTTTAATTAGATCCTCGGTTTCTTTGGAAGCGGATTCCTTTTTTGGCCAGTGAGACGAATCCAAAAAAAGCCAACTTGGGCCATTCCACCACAAGTTGCAATTAGTATATAATAGTGAATAATAGACAGCATAGCAGCTGCCTTGCGAATGCGTTCGTCTGAGTCTGACTATTCAACTGAATTAAATGTTCTTTGGCATAGTTCCAAAACCGAAAGAGTGAGGTTGAGTTGTTCTGTTCCGGCGCACCGGAACATACTCCCACCCTATCAGGCATTAGTCCTGATATATGGGCAAAGGTGCTAATTTATGAATGTTTCTTTTAAAAATAGAGCTTTTAGTTTTAACCGTGGCCACACGAACTAGTCCGTCAGCACCATGATGAAGTTCGACCACTTGTCCTAGTGGCCAAGAACCTGGAATATGACCATCATCTAGTAACAGGACGATGTCTCCAGTTTTCATATTCGGCTGAGTGTCCTTCCATTTCTTTCTGGTTTGAAGAGAAGATAGATATGCTTTGGTCCATGATTTGCAGAAGTCCTTGCGCATCTTTGAAGGAGATCCCACTATTCCGTTATTAGCAGGACTAGTAGGAGGTAGTTCTAGGATCAGTTCCTGTAAGAAAATGTGAAGGAGTGAGAATATTAATGCAATCATTTGGACATTTGGATTTTGGGTCAAAGACATTTGGGATCAATACCACGCGAAGCGATATCTGCTGGGTTCTCTTTAGAAGGGACATGCCTCCAGTATTTTGTTGGAAGTACTTCGATTATTTGAGACGTCCGGTTTGCAACAAAAGTCTTCCATTTACGGGGATGTGCCGAGAGCCAGGAAAGTACGACTTTGGAGTCAGTCCAAGCGTAAACATCAAACTTATATTTTTTGAGAGTGTTCATGACTGCACGATATAACTTTGAAAGCAAATGAGCACTGCATAGTTCCAATTTAGGAACAGATACTTGTTTGATAGGTGCGACTTTAGTTTTAGAAACTAAGAGAGAAACTTTTATTTCATTTCCGTGTATTTGTTTGCAATATATTGCAGCAGCGTAAGCAAGTGTTGAAGCGTCGCAAAAGCCGTGCAATTCAAATGTGTCAGAGGAAATAAGCGTGACACCTCTAGGAACTGGTAAAATGTTCAACTGCATTGAAAGATTTCTGAAATTTAAACAAATCTTCAGCAAGACTTTTGTGGAATAGGAGAATCCCAGTCCCCTTTTGTAAGCCAGAGCTTCTTGATAAAAAATTTTCAATACAACAGTACATGGTGAAATTAATCCTAATGGATCGAAAATGCATGCGAGCCGATTGGGACAAAATGTGTCTTTTTGTCAGCGGTGAGGTGAGTGCAAGTGCGGGTTTGAAAATGAATGTGTCTGTTGAAGAGTTCCAAAATAATCCTAAGACTTTCGTGCTTTCCTTATCATTAGGAATTATTTCTAAATTAGTGTCCGTTGAACAATGTTCTTGAAATTCTGCAAGAAATGCATTTGAATTAGAATTCCACTTTCGTAGGTGGAAACCGTGTGTTTGTAAAATATTGGTAATTTCCTTACAAAGTGATATTGCATCACTATCGGTACTTGAACCCGATAGCAAATCATCCATGTATACATCGTGTAGTAAAGTATGAGAAACAGCACTATTTTGTGAATAATCTAGTGCAATTTGCTTAATGCATCCTAGTGGCTAGGAAAGAAGCTGGAGCTAAACCATATGTTACGGTGTTTAACTTGTATGTGCGTATTTCTTCGTTAGGATTAAACCTCCAAAGAATTTGTTGGTAGTTCCGATCCTCATCGGACACTAAAACTTGACGGTACATTTTCTCTATGTCTGCTGAAAAGACTATTTCCGGAAATCGAAAATTAAGTAAAATTTCGAAAATGTCTCGTTGCAATTTAGGACCAACACCCAAGATTGAATTCAATGATTTACCGTTGGAAGTTTTACATGAAGCGTCGAAAACGACTCTTAATTTAGGTAGTTGTACTAGACGGCTTGATCACTGCATGATGGGGAAGGAAATATTGCTCATTCTGAAATCTATTTAAACAGTTTTGTGTGAACCAATTCCATATGACCTAAATTTTCATATTCATGCATAAAATCCTTGTATTGGTTTTCAAATTCCGAGTTTTCCTTAAATTTACGTTCCATAGCATATAATCGAGAAAGTGCAGCTGGTTTTGAATTACCTAATTCAGATTTAGATTTTAAAAATGGCAACTTCACCACAAAACGACCATCTGAATTAATTGAGTAATTTTCCCGAAAATGTGTTTCAACAAATTGTTCTTCAGGTGAGAATGCAGTGTCAGTTGAATTTGGTACTTCTTCTAACTCCCAAAAACCTTTTCAATTCGCTGTCAATATTTATTTCATAAATATGCATGTTTGAAAGTGAATTTGATTTCGTTTGAGATTTCGGTAGTTTTCCGGATATGAGGAAACCAAAAATTGAGTTTTGAGCAATTAAATCACTTTGAGAACAAGTTATTTGTCCAGGAAGTAAAATAGAAAACAAGTAGTCAGATCCTAGAATAATATCTATCTTATCCGGAATGTGAAAATATGGATCAGCTAACTTTACATTTTTCAAATGCGAAAAGTCTTTCTCATTTATTTTTTGGCTTGGAAGCGCAGCAGTTAGTTTATCTAATACAAATGCCTTAATTGGCATTCTCACTGATGCATCATGGATTGACATCAACTCGATTTCAACAACCTTTTGTAACTGCGACTTCTGACTCAGCTAAACCCTTGACAGGAAAACGCGCATTTTTTCTTTTAAATCCCAATAAATTAATACAAGATTCAGATAATAATGTTGATTCGGAACCACTATCACAAAGCATTCTAATATTACGTTTTTGACCCATCGAATCAATTACATTTACATATGCAGTTGGCAATAAGCCAAAAGTTGTTTGAACGCTATTATTTTGAATTACAGTTCCGTTTTTGTTTTCATTCGTAGACGCAATGTTTGGTATTTCATTCGCGGTTGGATTCTTTCTTTGCTGTTCTGACTGAAAACTGGTCTCAGAAAGAGACGCAGATGTTGAATAACTTTTTAACTGATTTTCACACAGAGTACTATGATGCAATAACTGGCAATAATGACAACGATGTTGAGACATACATTCAGATTTTTTGTGCTGACTAGAAAAACAATTTAAACAAAGATTATTTTTCCTGACAAATTGATTTCTTTCTTTGACAGTTAGTGCTTTAAATTTGGGGCATTTGAACAGAAAATGATCTGATTTACACATAATACATTTGATACCTTTGTTCACAGAAAATCTTTTAACACTAGGTTGAGTTTTTTCCCTTTCTTTTTCGTGGAAAATTTCTAAAGAGGAACATCTATCATTTATAAATTGAATAAACATTTCAAAAGTAGGAAATTCCACTTTTGCTGAAAATTCAGACCATTGTTTACATGTTTCGTTGTCAACCTTCTGTAATAAAATATAAATTAGCCAGACATCCCTTTCACTAGCTTTTGGATCAATAGATTTTAAACCTCTGATAATTTCATCAGATGTATCGGCAATTTTTCGCAAATTAATTGAGTTTGCATTAATTACACAAGATTGTTCCATGAAAGTTTTTATTAGTGATGTGACAATTTGTTTTTTTTTATCATACCTAGATAATAATTTTCCCCAGGCTTCCATATAACTATTTTCTGAAATGGGAATATGTTTAATAATAGAAGCCGGTTCATCAGTTAATAAACCCTTTAGATATTGAAATTTTTGAATGTTGCTTAAATTTTCATTGTTATGCACTAATGATACATATAAGTCCTTGAAAGACATCCAGTTTCTGTAATTACCGTTGAAGGATTGCATATTTATTCTCGGTAATTTAAAATTATTAGCAGTATTTGTAGTACTATAACCTGGCATTTGACGTTCATTAACATTAGTAACTTGCATATTAACAGTAACATTTAATTTCTCAAGTTCTTGTTGTAGTTTGGCTTTGGTTTCATAATATTTTTTCTCAAATTCTTCCATTTCAGAACTTTCCGGCGGAAGTTCTGAGTCTGCCTTGTCAAAATCAGAATAAACGCTTTCAATTTTTTGAAGTTTATTCATTAAATCGTATTTTTCGAATAACTGCTTATCATCATTAATGAAATTTGAAATTCTGGTAAGAGCAGCTTTCGCTCTACCTCTACTATTTTTTGCAATCCTAACCTTGTCTTCCATTACGACGTAATGGTGCAATGAGGAAAACCAAAGTCAAACTTGTAAAAAAGAAAAAAAAATACTTATCTTGCTTGGTCTTTAAATGAAGTTCG